TGGGATCATGACCTGAGCCGAAGGCAGACGCTTAACCAGCTGAGCCACCCAGGCACCCCAAATTATAATGATTCTAAAAGAAAGATGTGGGAGCAGAGAGAAGGGAAAGCTCTATTTACAGAATAATACCAACGAATAAGTGTAGGTGGAATGATAGAAAATCACTATTTTGCAACCACAGTTATCATAACTAAAGGTATTATACAAAATAATGGGCTTAGATTCTTTAAAAATGTCAATATCATAAAAGACTAAAAACAAAACACACACACAAAAAAACAGGCTTGGGAATTGTTATGGATTAAAAGAGACCAGAGAGACATTAGAGACACATAACAATTAAATGCAGTACGTAGTCCTTAATTTTATCCTGGATTAAAAAAAAATAGCTTTGGAACAACTGAGAAAATTTGAATGTGGATTATGTTTAAAAATAATAGTATAATAGATAATAGTATCTCACATTTCTTGAATGACGATTGGATTATGGTTGATAGGAAAATGGCTCTGTCTTAGACAATACATGCTTAAGTAATTAGGATTGAAGGAAAAAAAAAAGAAATCCCGTATTTTTATAATTCCCTCCCAAATGAAAAAAGAGAGAGAGTGTGTGTGTGTATGTGTTTATAATCTCTGGGGGTCACTGTTCTATTCTGCTCAATTTTCCTGGGTTTGAAATTTTGCAAATAAAAGGGAAAAAGAAGAAAGTTTCTAAAGAATTTAAAGCATTGACTATCATGATCTGACTTGTATTCTAGGATGATTATTCTGAGAGGAGTTATTTCAGAAAGGAGCAAAGCAGGGATAAGAGACCACAGGTCAATTCACCATTAAGCTGATGAAGCTTAAGTGTGAGGGCCCTTGTCTTATGGGTCCTTTCCAAAGCTTTGGGAGAAACCTGAGCAATAGATTCTTTCACATAGTCATATGCTTTTGTAAAATTTGCAAAATAAGATATTCTAACTACATTTGGTTAAGACCACTGTCTCCTTCCACTCCAACTCACTTGTATGTCAGGCAGCTTGGGAATAATGACAGGCATCTTTGGGATCCTGCTAATGGGAATTTAAATTTAGGTTTAGTGAGATACTATTTGTGGTTTGCAGTCACTTCCTTGTACAGTTAAATGTCTGAGAACTGTCCTGATACACGAATAGCCCTGAGGGATGCTGCTGCCACCCGCTGAGCAGACTTGTTTGGTGTCCTGAAACAAAGATGCTCAGCTGAAAGAGGAGCACAACACAAACCATAGCGCCCAGCTCCAAACCATGTGAAGAGCAAACAAACATGCTGGAAGAAAAACTAACTATAATTGTCTTCTCTATATAGAAAATATCAAAAGTGGTTATCATATTAAGAAGTAATCAAAGACTATGCAGTCAAAAAATATAAGAAAACTTAAAGAAGGGGGGAGGGGGATGGGTTATCCTGGTGATGGGTATTGAGGAGGGCACGTTCTGCATGGAGCACTGGGTGTTATGAACAAACAATGAATCATGGAACACTGCACCAAAAACTAATGATGTAATATATGGTGATTAATATAACAATAAAAAAATTTAAAAAAAAAACTTAAAGAAATGTCAAGCTGTTAAATAATGGAAATATTTTTAAATGTTTGTGGTATTTGACAGCTTTCTATTTTTTTAATTTTTTATTTAAATTCAATTAGCCAACATAGAGTACTTCATTAGTTTCAGATGTAGTGTTCAATGATTCATCAGTTGCATATAACACCCAGTGCTCATCACATCACATGCCCCCCTAATGCCTATCACCCATTACCCCCCCCCCCCCACCTACCTCCCCTCCAGCAACCCTCAGTGTGTTTCCTAGAGTTAAGAGTCTCTCATGGGTTTTCTCCCTCACTGATGACGTCCCATTCAGTTTTCCCTCCCTTCCCCTATGATGCTCTGCACTCTTTCTTATATTCCACATATAAGTGAAACCATATAATAATTGTCTTTCTCTGATTGACCTTTTTCCCTCAGTGTAATCCCCTCCAGTTTCAACCATGTCAATGTAAATGGTAAGTACTCATTCTTTCTGATGGCCAAGTAATATTCCATTGTATACATATACCACTTCTTCTTTATCCATTCATCTGTGGATGGACATCTTGGCTCTTTCCACAGTGTGGCTATTGTGGACATTGCTGCTATAAACATTGGGGTGCAGGTGCCCCTTTGGATCACTACATTTGTATCTTTATGGTAAATACCTCATAGTGCAATTGCTGGGTCAAAGGGTAGCTCTATTTTTTTTTTTAAGATTTTATTTATTTATTTGAGAGAGCGAGAATGAGAGAGAGAGAGAGAGCACATGAGAGGGGGGAGGGTCAGAGGGAGAAGCAGACTCCCCGCTGAGCAGGGAGCCTGATGTGGGACTCGATCCCGGGACTCCAGGACCATGACCTGAGCCGAAGGCAGTCGCTTAACCAACTGAGCCACCCAGGCGCCCTGGGTAGCTCTATTTTTAACTTCTTGAGGAACCTCTATACCGTTTTCCAAAGTAGCTGCCCCAGCTTGCATTCCCACCAACAGTGTAAGAGAGCTTCCCTTTCTCAGCATCCTCGCCAACATTTGTTGTTTCCTGTCTTGTTAATTATAGTCATTCTAACCGGTGTGAGGTGGCATCTCGTGGTTTTATTTGCTGGCTTTTTAGATTTGCAACTTGTCATGCTTCCTTTTCTCATTCTAAACATTCATGTGTGTGTGTGTTTTCTATAATGTTGTCATTTTTTTCCTTACAAAGCACCTCTAGAACTGTGTAAGTTTCAGGTCCTACAAGATCAGGAACTGCCCCTTTAGCCCAAAAAAAAGAAAGATAAGTAAATGACTATGATCTGAAATCCAATGAAGACAAAGAGAAAGCAATGAATTTGAGGTTTATTTGAAATGTGAAAAAATAAGAGCTTCCTAGTCCACTGGATTTGGGGAATGGGAGGAAAGTTGGGTTGGATGGTTCTAGTTTGGGTGAATGAATAGGTTTGGCATCATTCACCAAGACAGAGAATTCAGCAGAAAGAGGAAGATTCTGTGGTGATACGGATTGGAAGAGAAACTAGAGTGGGAGAAAGAGACTGGGTATTCATCAGTGTCTATACATGGGAAGGGAGAGCAACAGATTAACAGCTTCAAGGTCAGAGCAAATAGCAAGAAGAGGTGAAGCCAAAGGATGGAACCCTGGCAACAACTAAGGATGTGTTGGTTCAATATGTGTAGGTGTGGGGGCGTCTTGACCAGTAAGAAGACAGAGAATTGAAACAACCAAGAAAGAAAGAGTAGCTTTTTTAAATGGAGGGAAAGATGTGTTTGAATAACCTCAAAGGGTGAACTGTTATTAAAATATAAATTAAAGTGTAAATTAAATGGAAATGGAAATCAAATTTGGCAATAAGCATTTAACTGGTAACCCTGAGGGAGAACAAACCCAATGTAATTGTGAAAGTCAAAGTCAGACTGTAATGGACTGAAGAGAATGGGAAGTCAGGAAGTGGACTCCGGAAGTGTGGGTGACTCTTTCAAGAATGGAGGCCAGCAATAAAAAGAAACATAGGGAAGTAGAGGGGATGTGGGGTCAAGGAAGGGTCAGGTCTGCTTTATTTATGTCTTCTAATGCTAAACCATATACCTACCCTATGACTATTACCCAAAATCCTACTTCTAGGAAACAACTTAAGCATCATGAAAAGGAGAATGAATAAATATGTTACAGCACATTCACACACCTGAAAAATACACAGCAAAATAACAAATTGTAGATAAGTGCAACATGGATGAATATCAGTATTTTGCTAACTGAAATTAGACACAAGATACTACATACAGTATAATTCCATGTATATGAAGTTCTAGAATAGGTAAAACTAATCTATACTGTTAGAAGTCAGAAGAGCGGTCATCCCTGCGGAGGGGGCTAGTAACTGGGAAGAGGCATGAGAGCCTTCCAAAGTGAAGCAAATGTTCTCTATCTTGACCTGTGAGATGCTGCATGGATGTATATATATGTAAAAATGCATTAAGCTGCACCATGATACCCAGTGAACTTTATGTCCTTTACTTCACTATACCTTAATGAAAAGGAAAAAAAAAAAAGATAGTAGGAAGGGTAAAATGAAGGGGGGGAAATCGGAGGGGGAGATGAACCATGAGAGACTATGGACTCTGAGAAACAAACTGAGGGTTCTAGAAGGGAGGGGGGTGGGGGGATGGGTTAGCCCGGTGACGGGTATTAAAGAGGGCACGTACTGAATGGAGCACTGCGTGTTATATGCAAACAATGAATCGTGGAACACTCCATCAAAAACTAATGATGTAATGTATGGTGACTAACAACATAATAAAATAATTTTTTTAAAAAAAGGAAAAAATAAACGAATAAAATTTTAAAGACAGCTTCACTGAGGAAACACTACTAAAAAGAACTATCAAAATACTACCAAACCAAAGCAAATTCTGAGTTGGTCCTAGGATATCTGACAATGACATGCCCAGCAGCAGCTGCTGGAACAGACTGAACCAATGGAATCCATCAGCCGTGGAGTAAATGATCCTCTCTCTCGGGCCATCAGCGTCTCCAGATCACTCGTTCCCAGCTACCTAAAAATCCTGCTCCTAAACCCCCAATCCTTCTGTGGACAATCTATCCTTCCAACTGGATGGACTTTTAGAATGTCAAAAAGGGTCTCCCAAAGCACAGCGCCAGCCTCATACCTCTCCTATATCAAAAGAATACAATCACCGACCTCCTTCACTTCTGCGGAAGAGCAATTTAGAAGATAGATTTGTACGCATCAGAATCCCAGCAGTCGTCTGTAACACTTTCCTTTGATGTCTCACTATCATATCCAGTGATGAAGAGATAAGAGCTGGCATTTGAACAGTCATTTTTTTCCCCAAAAAAACCCAAAACCATATGAATTATTAATAAACTTAACACTATTTAAAATTAACATGGTACCTGCACGCTTATCATAAGAAGAAAATTTAAATACTTACCATTTTGTCTGGTACCAACAGCAGCAATGATTACTGGAACTGAATTTAATGCCCTTTTTATCACCGGAATATAATTATCCTTTACTTCGTGGAATGAGAACTTGTCATTTACGTTGTATTTGATGACAATGATGTCGGCACTCCCGATTAGGTTTCTAGAGGTATACCAATCACTGTCAAAAATGTCCTAAACCAAAATGCAAAGAGCACTCCTTAGTCTACTTGTCTTCAAATCAGTCATGAAATAAAATGGGACACATACCGTTTCTTGCTATAGTTTAATTTTTAGAATTCATAAAAAGAATTTATTTTCAAATAAGTAACTACCTAAAATTAAAAATGTCTGAAGCCTACCAACTCTTCTATTTTTATGTATTCTTTTAACCTAGACAGCAGTGTAGTTGTACTGTAAAGCAGATCTAGAGAATTACTGAGAGTCTGATGAAATAAGCAACCCCTTTCAGTATTTGTACTTAAAAATAAGCACTTTGTTTTAAAATTATGCCATTACTTTTATCACCTAATAATTTTGAAAATGTTAGCACTACACATTAGATGCCACAGCATCAGTATGAGTAAGGAAGCTTCAAAGAATTTTCTGTGACCCAATTAGACACTGCAGGATTGTTCACTATTTTAAACTGCAATACACTGTGAATTCTGTGGAGTTCCATATATTGTATACATATTTTAAAAATCTATATATACTTTCCAACTTTATCCATCCTTTGGACGGTACCATATCCGTATACGTATAGTGTACATGTCTACAGGTATGTGTAGGGAACGTATGTTTCATAAAAAGATACTGTGTATTATAAAGTGTCAGTGTGGTAAGGAACAGATTTTCAATTCATGTATTTAGCTTATATAAGTTAAAAATTCAGAAGAAACTTTCCAATTTTGAAATTTTCACTTCTGGACTACAGTTAATAATATTTATATTTAGAATCAGGGTGAAAAGTAATTTATTATGAAGACTACTCCTTAAAAGCTTTGGTATTTTAGAAGTATTTTTTCAAAGTTTGTATGTGAATAGTAGCATAAGAAAAATAAATGTCTTAATACCACTGCTAAATATGCATTAGTAGGTTTCTTCTCATATTCTAGTTAACTATTAATTATTATTTGTCCTTTCATGCGGCCTTTGACATATATCTCCAGAATATATTAAAGCTAGATTAAGAAAACAGTTAGATGTGGCTAACAGGTCCAAAAACTGTTGGGCTATGAAAGTTTGCACTTTGAAATATGAGTCCAAAACAGGGTAATAATGCTGGAATCGGTCAATCAAGATCCATGTGACAAAGCTTCTACAGTATGATGGAAAATTCTAGAGAAGTGTTACACAGCAATGCCCTTTTGCAGAGAGAGCTGCTTCTCACCAGTACCTCCATGGTGTCCAGCAAAGCCTCTCCCAATTCCCTATATCCAGCCCAACCCACCCACTTCCTACAAGTATACTCAGAGTAACAAGAACTGCAGAATTTTTAGATATAAATACCCTACTGAAAACAGGAGCATTTAAAAAGAAAGATTAAAAGGACCAAAAAAAGAAAAATAGGCAAACTATGGGAATATAAACATCAAAGGCAAAGTCTTGAACTTGAACTAAGAGGGGGGAGAAGTGAAGTGGGACACAGATCAAGAAAATGTGAAAGCTTCCCAGCAGAGCTCTATGCTAATTTCCAAATCCCAAACCACAAACCCATTCAGTTCCAATTGTATCTGTTATAGTATCCAAGCTCAAAGTATGCAAGCATAACAAGGGTACACAAGTAGAACAAAGAAAGAGAACAAAGTCAGATGAATGGAATAAAAAACAACAAAAACTAAACACAGGTGGGACCAACATTAAACAGCCATTTAACTCTGAGAGAACAAATCAAAAGTAACTGCTCTTTGCATTCCAAACAGTTTCAAATTCCAGAGTTACTGGAGAGGTGTACTGGGAGAAAAGGAGACATTTAGAGGAAAATGTCATGAGAAAATGGGTTTTGGCATCATTATCACAGTTGTATCGAGGATATAAAAACTACAAATAATTTTACTTTTAACACAAATCAGAATTTCAAACCCTGCACAAGAAATTGTACATGTATTACCTCACTGCTTTTTGTGGAATATTTTTGGTAAACAGGAAAAGATCTAGAAATAACATAACTGCACAAAAAAAGGAGGGTGGGTCTGAGAGCGACATACCAAATAATGAACTACATAAATGAATTTGAAGCACATTTATGTTTAAAGTGCCAAGTATATACAGCAAGGATCCAGAGTGAGGCTACGGATCTACAGAAGAAACTAGAAAAGAGAAGCACAAACTATCTCATTCCGATTCCAAGGAAACAACACCACATTTCTAAACAAGCTATGTCAAAGAGAAAATGCTCTCCTGGTTTCTAGAAATACGAAGGAAATCAAATTCTCCCTCCCCTTGTAAATCAGTTCCAGGATTTCCTCTAGGAGGTTATGCAACACAAGACTTGGAGCCGCACTGGGAGAATGGAACTCATCTTTAAAAATAATCTAAAATTTTATAGCAAAACAACAATTTTATTCTACTTGACAGCGGGGCTGCAAATACAGCATCTACTAAGTACCAGCACTGCTGCCTCTATGTATTGTATTTGTGTAAGTCTTGAATGATGTGTAGGAAAACTTTACTTTTGCTTAGTATAAGTGATTCATGGTTATACTAACATTGTAATGAACACTGTATTACTATAATAGCTACCGCCTCGAGTACCTACTACATGTCAGCTTCTATCCTAAGAACTTTACGTGTATTATCTCATTGACTCTTCCACACAGCCCCAGGGGGACAGGGAGTCTTTAGGAGGCAGTCAGTCTTTTTATTTTATACATAGGGAAAAATAGGACTAAGAGAAGATAGATGACTCACCAAGGAAAACCACTAAATAGCAATGTGGGGATCTGAAATCAGGTCCTTTTGCTATCAAAACCTGTGCTCTATCTGCTTTGCTATACCGAATATTCTGTTCCAGTACATGTCAAGTATCAGCTGTTAAATACAGTCAACTTGAATATCTTTGATGGACTTTGACCTACCACCAAGAAAAGCACCTTATAAAGAGAAGCTCTACAAATATATTCCCTTATGCTTGAAGATCATTTTAACCCAAAAAAGTGTACCCATACTCAATGCCTTTAACAGGACCAGACTCTAAACAAACAAAAAGTGATTAGCACAATAAAGCACAACAATCAGTATAGAGCAAAAATCTAGACTACAGAGGCTTATTTTAACCCTTTTGGAAGATTTCATTTACTACAATACCTGGGATCACAAGTATTATTTTTTGCTAAGTTAACAACATAAACAGGAAAGAGTTAACAGCTCGAAGAAGAAACAGGAAAAGTAATCCTAACATCCTAATTCAGCTTATTTTATTTTCCCTACGTTTATTTACTCTATTCACTCAACATTTGTTCAACTGGGTGTAAAACCATTAAGTTTTTAAACTGTACGATCATTCACAATGAAATGGCCAAAGTAAGTGTTTCATTTGCTTGCATGGACTTCAGCTAGTGAGTTCCTTCTTATGACTGGCATCATCACTGTGATAAATGGGAGTTTAATATCATCCTGGTTATTGAAAAAACCTGTTTTTCATTTATTTTAGCCCATTAACATAAATATCCTTTAACTGAAAATTTATTTGAGCTAGTGATCTCTTCATCCCGTAATTTGCGTAAGTAATTTTTCTAGGTACATTCCATACATTCCTTTAGAAAGGTGTAGTAATTCCCTATAGCACATAATACAGTTTTTTTTAAATTGATCTTTAAACGTAAAATCTCACATAATGATAATTTGTATTCTTTTTCAGACACCAAGCTTTTTTCTGTTACAAAATATAATCTTTAGCTTCAGTTATCATATTATAACTCCAATACCAGTAAAGAATCAGAGATTTCCAAATAAGATTAGATGAAAATATTTAAACAATTACTGTTATTGCATATTACATTATATTATTGCGTACTGAAAATATTTATGTGTCAGAGAGTAGATTCCTTTCTCCTTTTATCAAGCACTCAAGAATCAGACTAGAATTTTATCGACTTCATTACAATTTCTTTTAATTATTGCACATTTTAAAGCTTTTTGAAAATTCCAAGCAGTATTATTATTTCCGATTTATGAGTCACTGAAAACAAACGGCTAATATATCAAGAGTATCTGCATTATTAAAATTAAAAACATTAATTAAAATTTTCAAAGGTGGATAGTGTTATAAATGAGTGGTTTAAAATTAATTCTCAGTCCCTGTCTCTTCGTCTCCTCTCCAGGGGTCCTATTCCTGAACTGTCCCAGTGAAATTTATTTTTGCTTGTGTTGAGCTTTCAGAGGACTTTATTTTTAGAACACTAATATTACACTATCACCCACAGGGTAGGCATGAAAAAACATTGCTCTCTGCTGGTGAAACTTAGTGACCCCGTCCCTTGGGGTTGTCACATTCAACTGCCAGCTACCAAGGGACACCCTACAGTCGTCAAGCGTGCGAGTAAGTGCTCCATGTTGCCACCGGGGCTTTCTGCCTTCTAAGAGGGTTCTCTGACCGGGCTGCCCCCTGCCTAATGAAACAAAGGAAAACAAAGATTTCCCCAAAAATGTTTAAAAACTCTACCCAGGTAACCCGGACTGTCCACATTCATGAAAGAGGGAAAAGGGAGAGGAGGGAAAAAAACAATGAAAGGAAAGCTCCGTTAGCCTCGGCACAGAGCGGCTGCCACCCCTTACCCAGACGGGACAGTCGTGGACCACCAGCTTGACATTGCCAAACGCGCTGGCCTGATACTCGGTGAACACCGGCCGTGCGACCGTACTGGTCGCATTCAGCAACAAGCTGCTTTCGTCCCCCGAGACCAGCGGGCTTCTCCCCAGGTAAGTGCGGATGAGCCCCGACGGCCGATTGTCCTGGTGAAATGCGTCCCCCTCGTTCCCCAGCGCCACGATGTGAATGGACCTACACGACAGAGAGGGGACCAGGGGGAGAAGAGGCGCGTGGTCAGCGCGAGGATCACTTTAATCCGAACAGGAAGGGCGGGGGGGGGGGGGGGGGGGGGGGGGGGGGGGGGGAAAGGCCCCCCGTAGAGGGGCCCGAGGGGGGGGGGGGGGGGGGGGGGGCAGCGCGCGGCGAGGATGAGCAAAAGCCCCTCGAGCTGGGGCGCAAGACACGCGCTGGGGTAGAGACAATGGCAGGACCGCGACGCGTACGTACATGATCTCAAATCCAAGGGCAGGGCGGCGACTCGGAGAAAAGCGGCTCCTCGCGGCCTCTCGGGGCCAGGCGGCGGCGTATTTACCCGCAATCAGCTCATCCCCGGCCGCGTACCCCTCGCGCGCCTCCACCGCGGCGCGGCCGACGCAGAGCGGGCCCGGGCGAGCGAGCGAGCGAGAGAGCGACAAGGGGGCCGGGGACGTGCGAGTCGGGCCGTGTGCGCGCTGCCAACCAGTCAGGAAGTGCCCGGGAACATCCCGAGCGGCCCGCCGCTCCCGCCTCCCCGTCCGCCGCCGCCGCAGCCAAGAGTGGCCAGGCGCCCGGGCGCTGCAGCCCCCTCTCTGCCGCGCTCCCTGGGCAGGGCAGCTGTCGCCTCCTGCTGCTGCTGCTCCTCCTTCTGGCCGAGAGTGGCTTAGGAGAAAAGCCGGGGCCTCCGCCCCCTCCGCGGGCCTGGCGGGCGGGCGCAGCACGTGCTGGCCTTGGGGGTCGAGCGGACGCGGGGGGCGTGCTCCCCGCTGGGGCCCCCGGGCTGGCGGCGGCCGCCAGATACAAAGGAGCACCCCGCACAGGGCCTCGCGGAATATAAATTAATAAATGCAGCGCCCAAGCCTGAGAGCTCCTGATCGCCAATCCGCCTGCAGCAAGTTTGTTCAACTCGAAAGGCTGTAACCAGAGCCAGGGATGGGGGGGTGGGGCGGGGAGGCCCCCGCTCCCCAAAGACCCGGGAAAAAGGAGGTTAAGGAAGCTAGGCATTCAGGCCCGTGGGCCGCTCCGGCAGCCCAATTTTTTTTCCCCTCTTGGCCTTGACGGAAAGTGTTTTACCACGTCTGCCGCTTTGTCATTTGTCAACATGCACTACAGCTGTTTTCTAAAATCATACTTGTGAGAAAAAAAATAAAAGCAACATTCATGCTGGTGCAGAAAGGGTTCTTTGTTCACACACCAATTTGCTAATATCGCTTTTGAGGGATTATTTACTATTTCAAGCTATATTTGGCATATTTTACCAAAAACCGCAGGGGTTTTTTTTTTAAGTGCTGGGGTTCTTATTGTCATAGTTGTAAAAAGAAGTTAGGCGTGAGATGTTTAACGTGTTTACAAGCTAGATGCTAGTTTACTTGGAGATTTTCAGTACACATAATGGCTACATATTTAATAATAGCTCCTTAGACCAACTGAAATAATCACGATCATGCTAATGCAAGGATACTTCAGATTCTTTCATGAAAACGCACTGAAGTAAAGGTTATGAAGGTCTCTAAAGGGCCTCAAACTACCTTAATGCAAACGAACACTGGAATCCACTAACACCAAGAAGGGCCAGAGGTTACTGTTGGACTCAGCTTCTCCATAAACATAAAAATTCTCACAAGTTCTCTGTGTTGAAAGCGTTCTTATTTATCCCTTTCCTTATTTATTTTGCCCTACTTTAAAATTTCTTTTCTCAAAAGAGCTATTTTGAGGGCCTGAGGTACTGAAGAGGTACTGAGGTACTGAGTAGGGCAGTGAGAAGACTAGGGTAAGAGGCCTTTGGAATGTGAACAGCTTTTTATTATGGGCCCTTGCTGCTCAGTTGGAAGCAGTATAACACAGTTTCTCATGCTCATAGGGTATGACAAGAGGCATTCATTCTGTAGTCACTGATTTTTTAAAAAAATCTAGTTTCCCTTGCACTAAGTATAATTTCTCTTTTAGTCTCTAGAACATAAGCCATCCTGAAATATTTAAGAGGTTAGGATCACCTTTTCTCTTGGGTCAATAGAAAATATATTTTCTTGTCAGTCCCCTCTAGTAACCACAGGTCAAAAACAAAGACACTAACAATGAATGGATAAAGAAAATATGGTATGTACCTACAATGAAACATTTGGACTTGAAAAGGAAGGAAATCCTGTCATCTGTTACAACATGAATGAATCTTGAGGGCATTATGCTAAGTGAAGTAAGTCAGTCACAAAAAGACAAATACTGCATTATTCCACTTACACCAGGTATTTAAGCTAGTCAAACTCTTAGAAACAGAAAGAATGGTGGTTACCAGGGACTGGGGGTAGGAAGAAATGGAGAGTTGTTCAATTGGTAGAGTTTCAGTTTTGCAAGATAAAGAAGTTCTAGAAATCTATTGAAACAAGATACATATAGTTAACACTACTGTAATGTACACTTAAAAATGGTGAAGATGATACATTTTATATGTTTTTGCCACAATATGTAAAAGGGGGATGGGAATTGGGTACTGGCAGGAAGAGAGACAGCATTCATTTTTTTCTCTTCTGTTACTGAGTATGTGAGCCAGGCCTGTGCTAGGCAGGCATGGGAGATAATAAGATATATAAGACTCAAGTGTTACCCTTGAGAAACTCAGTCTATAATTAATGGTCACTATATTGTAAATATTAATCACCCAATCCTTTGAAAACATACTGGTTCCTTAAATAATTATAATACAGGCTCACACATTCAGTAACAGAGGTAGGTACAAAGTACAAGGATAAAAGTGAACATTAAGAAGAGATCTGTGCCTGTGTGTCATCAGAGAGAAGTTCATAGGGAAGTAAACATTGTCTTGGGTCTTAAAGGATGAGGAGGAATTGTTAGATATGGAAGAAGAGGAGGGAGGAGGAAAGGGAAAGAGTTTTAGAAAGAATGGACAGACATCATATGCAAATCACATGTAAAGGTATAGAGACATGGAAGGAAGATCATGGCTTGTTCAGGGAATGGCAAGAGCTGAAATTCATGCTAGAGTACAGTTGCCTCCTTATTACAACAAGCAAAAAAGAGAGTGACTTCTCAAGAGATTTCTAAAGTCAGACCTGATGATACTCAATTATAGATTAGGAATTCCTCTGTATATATGATGGAGCTCAGCTAGATGCTCACCAAACCCACCTTCTCTTCCAGGACCCATAGCTAAACTACATTTCCCAAAGTTTTTACATGTAGATAGAGCCATATGATTAGTTTTTGGCAGTAGAATATAATCCCTGCTGAGCAGTTAAAAGTATGCTTTCTCCACTCTCTTTTATCCCTCTTTCTCGTAATTGTATGAAGCCAGGTCAATGTTGAAGCCATGTGTTCGAAATTGTTGGTCTGCGGCATGGAGGAGGCCTGGGTCCCTGAAGGACTGGTTATAGCAGAGCTGCCTCACAGCATGCATTGTACTGGGACATGAGTAAGAAAATGGACCCTTATTGAGTTAAGCCGACATTTTGTGGTCAAGTATTACAGTAGCTAGTGTTACTTATCTTGGCTAATGCAAGATCACAGATGGTCCATTTCCTGATATCTTAAAGATTCTTTTCAGAATTATCTTGACTACTTTTTTGTAATTATTTTCCTTTTATTTACAATGTTTATTTGGTTTATGTATTTGTAGTTTCCCTCAGTAGCATTTAATAAAAAATTTACTTTTACCAGGGTGTAACAAATTCAATTATCATTATGTCATCCAATCTCAAGGTCACTGGGGAAAACAAAAGCAAGCTCCTCTAGCCCAAACAATAGTTTTCCTATTTTCACAGCTGAAATGCCACTATTTTATATTCATTCTAATAGATGTTCTCATCCCCAGATAAAATGTAGCCACACATGCATGTCAGGTATGTATGAGATAACTCAACGAGTTATTACTGATCCCCAGATCATGAATATTAATATAAATTAATATACCAGATCATGAAATTAATATACCATTAAAAATTTTGCTGATTCCTTAATGACTAGAGAGGAAGCAAGTGTTACTAAGTGTAGATCTGAAGAATTAAGGTTGGCATAAGATTTTTCCAACGTTGTTTCAAGGAAACTAGTTTTCCACCTGAGGAGGTTGGGGAGAAAGATGGATGCCTAGAGAGATCTGAGCACCACCTTCTCCCATCTCAATCAGACCAGTGTTATTGTCATCTAATTTTTTAAAAATATATTAGAGTTTCAAGTTTATTTTCAGTAAAAAAGAGGGGATTTCTAACATTAAAAAAAACCACAAAATTTTAAAACTCTTATCTAGAGCAAAGGTCTCCAAAGTGGGATACAGAATGTGACCCCTGAAATTTTAGAATAAAGTATTTGAATTTCTATGTACAAACAAATATATTTTTCACCAAAAAAGAGGGGAATAAATTAAGCTTTACTCATATTGAATGTGAGGACTGGCACCAGCACCCCACTTGATCCATAAGTGGGCAAGCACCTGGGGGGCTCTGGGGAGGGGGCGAGCACAGCAGCACATAATAGAGGAAGGGAGGGCTCTCTCCTTTGTTCGCTTTCAACATATTGCCACATGGTGCAATTTCTATATCTAACTAAGTGGATTTATGTATGATATTTAAGTAAACTAATTGTTACAGCATGGACCAATGGAGATAGTGTTCATAATGCAAGAACAGGCAAACACAATTGGCTGAGCTGACATTTCTGATGCCCTTTGGAAGCTACATTGCCAAGTAAAAAACTAATGACTAATCAGATCTGACAAGGTGGCCATAATCATTGAAACTAGAAAGAACATTGTTTTAAATATGAATTTACACCTACTTTTACTGACTTTACCCTAAGTGCATATCAGAGTTCATAGATGATGATATTCTGAACTGATTACAATTAGTTAGCCATTTAAAAACTAGGTATCCCAGCACGAAGGCAAAACTCCACAACATATCCAGCATATTTAGTAATATACTATTTAAGCCAATACTTTAAAGAAAATTCATATATTACAAATGCTAAAAAGCCTCTTTGAGCTTTCTTAACAATGAAAGTCAGAAAGCAGCATACAATTGGGAAAACAGTTTTCTTCTTGCCAAGATGAAAATGTCTGAAATTATACATGGAACACAAATGGAAAAAAACAACTGCATTCCTTTGACAGTTAATACCTTGAGAATATGCACATAAAACACTGCTAAAGACCCCAAGACATGAGTATTGGAACAAGTTACACAATGTGGGAAGTTTACCATAAAGTTAAACTGAAAGCACAGATGTTTTTAATATGTCTCACATTATGGTAGATAGATTCTGTTATGTTAGATAGATTCTGTTTCAGTGTGGTATTTACTAGACTGTGTTTCAATAATGAAATACATTTTAAAATGACATTTTTTT